TCCTGCTGCTGTGAATTACAAAGTTTGGAATCAAAATTTTGGGGGCTAAGCTTTTCTTCAGGGGACTGGTCCTTGCAGGGCACAGCCCTCGGTGCCTAAGCTGTGTTTTATTGCCATAAACTTTCATGGAGCTTTGGGACTTTGTGAAGCTGTCGGTATAAATCTAGATGATAACGTTCAGAAAAGAGTATATTGCCTTTGCCATCGGCGAATGTAAAATGGGAATTATAAATAGCTGCAGCCATTCTTGCATTTCCACATTCCATTGTCTGTTTTGCCGAGAATTATTTTTTCTTTAATAGAAATCCCCCCCCCTCTTTTTAACTTATTGAGTGCTTGACTTGAACAAAATGATATGCCCTTATTATATGTGTTTGTCCTTCTCTAAGATTCTATTCTGCTGAGCCATCTCCAGATCTAGTGATTAAAAAAAGATCAGTTTGCAGATGCCAGACTGATGAATGTGCTGCAGAAATCCTGTCTGAAGGGTAAAATGGTTGAATTTCCCTTGTAGATTTTGCAGTAGAGAAAAAATTCTGGGGTTCTCCTGAACTCCTTGTTGGCTCTGCTATGTGGACCCAAAGTCATGAATAGGGCTGAAAATGTCTCATGTCCTCTCTGTGAATGCCAGGTAGATAACGTTGGGAGGATTTTTCAAGTTGCCTGTATTATTCCTAGGGCGATAAGCAGTTTATCATCTAAATGTATTTTATTCCTCTGGCCGTGTTGTTCTGTGAATCTCAAAGTCAGGAGCACCTAACTAAATCCCCAGGAAAACTGACAGTCTAATAAAGCCTTGAAAAACCATCCTGACTTTTTCCCCTTGCCGTACAAAAATGTTCTTGTCCGTTTTATACCATGAATAAAAATTCAGTCATCTCCTCGCATCTTCAGGTGTGAAAGGCAGAGATCAATCACCCACCAGTCTCATCCTGGACCTTGCCCTATAATTTGTGAACTTGTAAAATTGCTGTTTCGGTCATGATAGTAAGATGACAATGATGAAAAGCAGAGGGGCAGAAGCAAAACAGAGTTCCTGCCGCTGGGATAGATGTGAAAGATGACTTTTGTGAGACAGGTTTTAAAGACTAGGATTAAAAGCGCAGAATTCATTTTAGTTTTATTTAGGAGATTGAGGAGGATGGTATGAAAAAGGCCAGTGTAGGTAACCCATGTCAGGGAGGTGGGGAGCAGTGCGTTGCCCGACCATGTCAAGAAAGTCTCTCTGGTCTGGCTGGACAAGGGCTTGGTGGGCAGAAGACCACCAGGCCTGAGCTGAGAGGTCCTGCTTGGTCTGGCAGCTGCTCTGCGCTGTAGGCAAGAGCCTGAGAAACTGTCCTACAACGCAAACCGGGGGCTGCAGAGAGGGCTACAAAGCTAGCAAGGATGCTTAAAATCTTTTCTTGTTTCTAAGAAGTAGGAATGAGATTCGGTGCCTCCTGCTTGGCAGTTGGGAGACTAATTCCCAACCCCTTGCTGCACGAGTGACTGTCTGACCGCACCAGGAATTCAGAGGAAAATAACAGTTTGAGCTCATTTGCCTTCTTTCTTTTACTTATTCTCAGGGTCCTACTGGTGTTCCTGGTCCCAAAGGTAACCAGGTAAGTGAAGCTGATCTTCCTCCTGGGATGACTTTCATGCTGTAGTCAGCAGAGGCATTTAAACCACACCTTAGGCGCAGCCCGTGACAGCGCAGCCAGCTTTTCCTCCTTTCAAATGAAAACACCCTGGAGCAGACGCCAACAAAACCCTCTCTGGTCCCGTATTTCCTCCGCTGGCGAAAGAGATGTGGCCTGTTCTAATGGCGACACGTGACAATGCGGCGATAAAAATGCTAGGCTCTTGCTGGTTATTTGGTAACCACGAGGTATGCCGTATATGAGCTCCTCACATCATGCTCCTCCTGAACTAAGTTTAGAAGCACAGCTTTTCGCTGAACATCATGTGCCTGAGGAAGAGGATTCCTACCCTCAAAGCTTGGCAGACTAATAGACTAATTTAATCTTTTGCTTTTTGCTGCTTAACTTCTATAGTTGGATTAATCTCAGTGATGACCTTTTGAGCCAGTTTTCATCAAATATATGACTTTCATTAATGCATGACTGTGTCTTTGCAGAAAACGAGTGCTTTTCCAGCAAGCGCTGCTTGTTTTGTTTACCAGTGTCAGTGTCTGTACGGTCCCTGCTTTGTTGCTCAGGGAAAGACCAACCTAGCCTGCGTTTCTCTTGAAATACCTTCTTCTCTAAAGCCCTGTAGTCACCATAACAATGGTCATTATCTGCTCTAATTGCTGTTTAATAAGCCAGCTCTGCTGCAGAGCGTTCGGCGCGGGCAGCGCTGCCCGTGCAGCCGGTGGCGGGAGATTGCAGCGATTCGTGTCGCCCGCAGCGATGCTCGAGCTGCGCACGCTGCTGTTGGCTTAGTGGAGGTGATCAGCCCATTGATGCTCCTTGTCACGGCTAGCAAAATCAATGTCACCGGAGCTTCAGCCACCCTTGCGTTAGGGTCCCCAGACAGAGTGGAGAGGCGTGGTCCTCACCAAGCGAAGGATCGCTTCTGTTTAAGGGTGGGATGAAGCTGTTCTGCAGATGACTCTTTCCACTGAGGAGGCCTAGAAGACGCAGGGATGCTGGACCCTGAACATTCAGCTGTCATTGCAAACGCACGTTTTTTTGTGAGACTCCCAGAGCTGGGGAACCTGAAATTTAGATTCCCTGTAAGAGAAATGCCAGTGCCAGCCTGTGGATGTCTTTTATGGCCACCCCATCAGGGCTCTCCTCTGTAGGAATTTGGCCTTTCATCCAAGTACCAGCTTGTTGCAAAGGGCACCTACTCCTCACGCGAGCTGCCTTGCACCACGAGCGCCGTTGTCAGCAGGGGAACAGCTACGGCAGAGTTCAGCTTTGGGAAGAGAGAACTTCCTCTTGCTGGAGCAGCTGTATAAGCTGCTAAGTGCACCCATCTCCCCACAGCTGAGGTTATCCAAGTGTCGGAGCGAGCCTTGTTGTCAATAATCTTTGTGCACCAATAGGTGCAGTGTTAATTCTGGTATCTCACTTTCAGGGCATTGCTGGAGCAGATGGCCTCCCAGGTGACAAAGGAGAACTGGTAGGTGTCCTTAAATTCAGTAGAATTGACTCCTCAAATAACAGATGGGTCTAGAGAACCATGAATCAAGAACTAATGTGGTCAGTCAGAATTAACCGTCCAAGAGCTCCAGCTCCAACCCTGCTGGCTGCCAAAAGGCGAAGGCAACCCAAGCCTTTCTGCCGTCGTATTCACAGTGTGCATCAGCTCTCCTCTTGTCTTCAGGAAACACCGGATAGCCAGCGTGGCCTTTGCAGAACTGTGGCACATCAGCACTCATTTGTCACGTTGCTCCTCGGAGCAGTCGACGTTGCTCTGTCCATGGAGGGGTTTGGTCCATCTCAAGGAGTAGCGGGGTTGCCTGGGCCTGCATTCAGCATTGGTAGCCAGGGCACGTCTCGGGCCAGAGTCCTCTCCCTGTTGTGCCGGGGCTGAGTCTGGTCTCCAGCATCCTGTTATCACTCCTGGCCCCTTTGCTAGAAAAGCCCGTTAGGTGCCACGTACATGTCATCGCGGCTTCCCGGAGCTTGGGAGATTTGACTTTAGATGTGCATTTTCTGAATGGATCATTCTTTCTTATTTCCCTTTTCTTTCCAACAGGGTCCCTTTGGTCCCCCTGGCCAAAAAGGAGAGGTATGTGTCAGACATTGCGGGCTCATGCCCTGAAAGCTTTGGGAGTAAGCGTGCTTATCGCATCTTTCGATGATGTGTCTCCATAAACTATGTTCTGGCATTGATTCCTAGAAGCACGTTTTTGTCATGCCATGCTATAAAATCTATGATAATGACAATTTGCTGTGGCATTCAAAGCATTCAGATGTGTGTGATCATTTTGCTGCAGCCTGGACTCTTACTATCATGAGCTATATATGTGAAACCACCCGTGATATGTAAGAAACGTACGTGGTCAGCCAAGTCATTTGGGGGAACCTAAAGAAAGGCTTAATTAATCCCCATGAGAAAAGAATGGACCATGTCTTCTGTTTTTAAGTGTTTGGGTTTTTTTTTTTTTTTTTTCATTATTCTTCATTACAGCCAGGAAAAAGAGGAGAACTTGGTCCAAAAGGTGTCCAAGGACCTAACGGGACAGCCGGAGTGCCAGGGATCCCAGGACACCCAGGGCCCATGGGCCATCAGGGGGAGCAAGGCGTTCCCGGCGTCACGGGAAAACCGGGGCCTCCTGTAAGTACTGTCTGCTGCTGGGGCGCAGTCAGGGAGTCTCTGAAGTGAATAAATGGATGGATGGTGGATTTTGGATGCAGATTCAAAAAATCAGGTCCTGCATTTGAGCAGGCACAAGTACGTAACTGTGCATGCAAGCTAGCAGTCTCGCAGCAAGAGCTGACCAGTGCAAAAAGATGAACAGTTTGCAAGCTTCAGAATTAAAGTCCCCCTGAATGCGTGCCTTGGAGAATTAATCTTCTCTCGCAGTGATATACGGACAAATTATCTGCATCCATTGGAACGGGCTGTAAGTCACTGTTCTCATTATAAAAGTGAGGTAGAAGTTGGCCGTTTAGAAATACAGCTTCTATTCACTGCTTCAAATGTTAGACGTCTGTCTTGGTCCAGAGCTCACGTTTCATCATTCAGGAAAGGCCAAATAAGCCCCATGTTAAATATCTGGCCTAACATTAAAATTAATCTCTGCCATTAATATGATAGAGCTTCTGAATTGAAGCCGTCATCTTTTAAGAGGGGAAAAAAAAAAACCCCACTCCTTTTCATGCGGGATCCTGTGCTTCTTATGGAGCTGCTGGAAATGAGTTCCACGTCCTGGAGCTTCTGTCAGGGATGATTAGCGGTAACGTGGCTTGTATAAGGACAGATTCTTCTGTTAATTGCAGGGCAAAGAGGCCAGTGAACAACATATAAGAGAACTGTGTGGGGAGATGATAAATGGTGAGTATTACTGAGAGAAAACTAATTACCATCTTTAGCTGAAGATGAGTAGATCCTGAACAGAAGATGGCTTCTGAGATTTGTTGGTTTTCTGTCTTAATAAGAAAAAATACATTGACCTTTAACATAAGGAAATTATTCAGGAGGTCGCCTTGTTGCCTGGGATGTCTTTCATTGTTCTAAAATTAGTATTTTTTAAACGATTCATCATGGCAACACGCAAAGCGTGCCGAAAGCAGCTTTGCCACGAGCATCGCGCAGGACGCTGGCACGCGCCTGCCCTGACCTGGGTCATTCCCCGCTTCGGCTCCCGCCTCCGCTGCCCTCCGCGGCACACCCCGTCTCCCTGGAGCAGGGCTCAGCTCCCAAGGAATGTTCTTCTTTCTTTGAAGTTACGGTTCTGCATTTAGAGGTTATGTTTCCGCCATTCGGGATGAAGTAAAACTCTTGACAGCTTGTTTCAGAAAACTTGTTTCAGAAAACTTGTTTTAATTATTGAAGTATAATTTTCCAGAATACTTGACGTCTTTTAAAGTGGTTTAGGAAACAGGAAATACAGTGGCTTAAAAACCTGCAGATTTCTAACCAAAATCTCCCTCTGTGGAGATGTAAAAAAATAAAAAGCCAGAGATGAGCTGAGAGGACAGATGCAATGTTTAGTTTGAAGCGGAAAGTGTGTAGGAGTGGCGGGGAGCGGGATCTGCCCGAGCACGCGGCTCCGCGCTGCTGTCAGACGCTCGGTTTTCAGCTGCTCGCTCAACGAAGCACGCTTGGCGGCAGACGACGAGCGGCCGAGCAGCGAGCGGACGTGTTGCACACGCAGTTTTTTTCTTGTTCTTTTCAGATCAAATTGCACAGCTAGCTGCTAACCTGAGAAAGCCCTTGTCTCCCGGAATGACGGGTCGGCCCGGGCCGGCCGGTCCCCCAGGGCCGCCTGGAGCTGCGGGCAGCGCTGGGCACCCTGGTCCTCGTGGTCCCCCGGGGTACAGAGGGCCAACAGGAGAGCTTGGCGATCCCGGTCCCAGAGGTAAGACTTAAACCAACCAGCTTCTCTTCTATGCCTACCGATACCAATGGCGAACTCGTACTAATTTCAGCAGCGGAGGAGGGCAGATCAGCCGATGGAGCTCTAGAGGGCAATTTTGCATCTTGAGGGGTGCAGTGTAAGCAGATCCTAGCAGTGTCCTGAGGAATTTGAGTCCCGCTTGGTCTTTCCCCTTCCTGCCCTTGGACCCAGCTGCAGGGCACGGCTCACTGTTGACGCTGTCCGTTTATGCAGGGCACGGCTCACTGTTGACGCTGTCCGTTTATGATTAAAGGTGACACTGGCGAGAAGGGAGATAAAGGACCTGTTGGTCAAGGCATTGACGGGCCTGACGGCGATCAAGGACTTCAAGGTAAGGCTGTGCGAATGCTTCAGGCACGGTTTATGAAATGAAAGGGAAGAGGGACAGCGCTGCGTATTGCTGGCACCGCTTCGTCCCTGCAGTGCTTACAGCAGGGCGTTTCCCTGAGGGCACAGCGGGCGCAGACAGTTTGAGCAGGAGAACTTAATTAGCGCGTCCCCTCTTCGCACCGCTCCTGTCTAGTCTGAGATGTTTTGGAGAATGTTTTTGAGAAAAGGCTGCTGGGACAGCCAGACTCTTCATTCGGTCTCGGTTTCTTCCACTAATGGCTGTGAAAGGTCGGGAGCTTTTATAGATGGGGAAGTCAGAACCTTTCTTAACTACTCCCACATGGCTGCCAGTGTCAGAAGGTTATTTTCAGTGGGCCTTCGTATGCAGTAAGGAACTAGTTAATTAGCAAGTAGCGTATCGGTTCGTTTAAAGGTGTGTAACAACCGTGAGGCTCCGGCTCCAGATGAAGGCAGAAGGGTCACGCGCGCTGCCCATTCCCTGATGGACACGTGTCTTTTCGAGGCTCTGCTTAAAGCACGCTCGCAGTGAAAGCCACAGCCTGCCCCTCCCCGGTCCTCCAAAATGCAGTTCGTGTTTCTGGATCAAACAAGAGAGGCCAGGGACAAGATTTAATTTTAGCAGAAACAAATATAACTGCCTAGTGTCATGATTTTGAAAGAGAGTGGTGTTACTGCTCTGTACCTGGTTATAATCCCATTTCCTGAACTCACAAATGCTTTATCAGAGGATTCAAAGAATAATTTATGCAAATCGGTATCTGTTAGAAACTCGGAGGAATATTCTTTATTTTGCTCGCCTGGTAAAGCAGCTTTTCTAATTGAGATTACATCTGCGCAATGATTAAGTTACAGGCACCAAAAGCAGGCTCTGCATCCATATAATTTCATAAAACCAGAATTTTTATACCCGGTTGTCCTAGAGTCTTCCACGGAATAATTGCATTCATCCATAAATGTTTTCTTTTCCAAAGCGCGTAAAAAGAGGCTGTTTAATGTGTGAGATATTGCGAGCATTTGTCCTACTCATGAAACGGAAGGAGATCAACAGTAGATGCAATTCATCACTTCCATGAATAAACAGAATCAGGCACTGTCGTAATTAAGCCAGGACTGCAGGTTTATAGACCAGCTGATACGGCTGTCCCGCAGGCAGACAGAACCGTATTTTACAGTATTTAAGAAAGCTTCAGTAGCTTGCTGTTACAGACATTAGTGTTTTGTGAATTACGTTTGGCATCTGAAGGAAAAAAGAAATAAAAATATAATAGCTTGGGTCCACCCAAAGCAGAAATTATTTTTGCCAATAAACAAAATATATATTTCATTGTGAGCACGTTTTTGAAATTAGAGAGAGGTATAAAGGAAACTCCTTATCTGTAATGGCAGGGAGATTGCTGCAGCATCATTCTCTGTACTCCCCTTCCCTTACTCGGAATCTTAATTACAACCGGATTAAGGAGGTGCCACAAATTGAGGCTGCTGAAGGGCACTGCCTCCCGCTAAGGAGCAAGCTGGCGGCCAGGAAGGAAGGGCAGTCGTGAGCGCTCGTGTTGTCACAATAAGTCAGCTGTGAGCTCACACGTCCAGGACATCCCTTGAGCAAACTAGTCAGGGATGAGGTAAAATAATTCTGGTTACAAATTACTTGCTATTATCCATGAGGCCGTACTGAGACGGAATCCAGTTCTACAGTGGTCAGCAAAAGTCGAGGCAGACGTGCAGTAACAAAGGTGCAATACTAAACATCCGCCTTCACGGAGGTAATTCTGGTAAATCCAAAGGTACTCTAAAAAAATCCAACACACATACTCCAAATTCAGGCTAAATTTATTCAACACCTTGTACTCAACAGGCCAAAACAAGTCCGATGTACAGACACGCAAAGTAGTTTAAGAACTCTAAAAGTAACACACGCATATATACACACATATATTTAAAAAAAAAAAAAAGGGTGGGGGAAGGAAATAATTCGTGTAATCTTTTTCCCCTTCTTGTTTAGGACCGCCTGGTGTACCTGGAATTACTAAAAATGGTCGTGATGGTGCTCAGGGTGAACCCGGTCTTCCAGGCGATCCCGGTACTCCTGGTGCTATTGGGGCTCAGGGAACTCCAGGAATATGCGACACGTCGGCTTGCATGGGAGCTGTTGGAGTATCAACTTCCAAAAAATCATAAAACAACAGTACAAGAAGTGGAGAAGTGACTGAATATTTAAATAAACAGTGCATTGTAAGAAAACAGACAGAACCCTCCTAGTGATAAACGGACAAATGTTCCTTCTATTATATTAAGTGGAGACTTTGACACAGTTCTATGAAAAAGAAAGCATCAGATGAAAACTTTTAATTAAAGGTGCTCTCCTCCCCCCAGTTATTTTCCAGAATTTTTACTGCTAAACCACCTCACCTTCCCTTTCTCCCTTTGTTCAAGAGACCCGCAAGAGGAAGCACTGGTCCTTTGTACCGTTACGCCCCCCGAACTCTGTACTAAAGATCGCGACTTCGCTGTATAAACGTTTGAGCCTTCTCAGCTGAGTTCCTTGGTGCTGAATTCCTTCAGTGAGTGCACAAACCTGCGTAAGCTACGCATTGTTAAGGTATTCAGGCACCTAACTGCTATTTATAGCAGTGGAAATTCGGCATTTAAATATCCCATATTTTAATATCTTTAAGATTCCGGCCTACGTAAAGCCCATAGGCTTATGTATGTGCTGTCAATTACCAATTTTCAGATTGCACCTCAAATACTTGCCAAGACTAGTAAATAGTAATCCTTTTGCAATCAAATTCTGCAAAAGGTGTAATATATATTTTTTTAATTTACGGGGAGAATTTCTGTATATTTCCATATGATAATAAAGGAAATTAAGTAACAGCATTCTCACGACCTCTACTTAAGCTATTTGCACAGTAATTGTAAACGAAATCCCAAACGAGAAAGGATGCTCTTCTGAAGTCCAGCCAAAAACACCTGTATGAACTGTTGTAAAAATAAAAGGAGATTTTTTTTTTTTTAACCTTTTCTTTGTGATGTTGTAAGTGTCATTACCTCAGCTGAACCCCATTTTCCAGAAGTGGTTTTACTAGGATTGTTTGGAAATAAATTGCTGCAAAATCGTCCATATCCGTGATTTAAAACAGTAGTTTTTTTGGGAGACCTTTCTGTACTTTAAAACCTGCTAGCATCATCTATTTTAAAAAAAAATAATTAATAAAACCACTTTCAGCTCACACACTATTCTATTTCTGCCCTATATGCTAAAGCCTATGAAAGGAGTCGTATTAATCTTTAAATATGAAAATAGTTTCTGCATTTAAATAATCTACTCTTTACAATATGCCACTCTTGGACTAAAGTAACAATACACAAAACTGTTGGACAGTTGTGTGACAGACATTAAAAACAGTACTGTATTTTAAAAAAAAGTGCTAACACCGTTGCATTACTCTTCAGAGCCAAGTATGTTACAGTATGTATGGCAAATGTGAACTTCATAACATCAGCACAGTTTATATTGGTTAATTAAGTGCATAGTTTCTAGCCTTTACATTTTTAATGGAAAAAAATGGGCATTACAATATGGTAACTTTAATTTCTTTTTACACTTGAACAGTACATTTGCATCTAGTCATTAAAATAACAGGACAGATTGATGTTCTACAACTCTTTCTAACTGTACTGGATCATCTTTAAAAAAAAAAAAAAACAAACCCAAAGCAGAACCACAAATAGAACAGATTTTTTTGTAACTAAAGGGGGAAAATATTTAGCTGTCATGACATTTTCTTGTAGCTTCTGGTCCCAAAGCCCCTTTAACAGAGCACTGATTTCTATTGCTGGTAAGTTAACTTTCATCTCCATTTTGAATAAAGACTGTTTTCTTTAAAGCTCTATTTCTATATTCTTTACAAGTTATAGTTTGCAATTCATACTCAGCATGTAAACGGAGAAAATAATAAAATAGTTTGGGCCACTGTTAGTTAGCCACACCTGTCATACAATTCAAGGCGGTCAGTTCAGACTACTTGGTCTCCATAGCCATGCGTGTTTTCCTGCACTGGACACGTTATAAATGAGTCTGATCTTGCTATTTTTAGTCTCCTGCCTGTTTTACCACAGAACACAGTCTCAAATTCCTAAAAAAATCAAAATACAAAAAAATAAATAACAATTATGTTTAATGTAGATATTTACTTGAGATGTATGTTTTTGTTTCACTAGTGTCTTGGGCGAAAAAAAAAATATATCTTTAATAGGAAGCACAGAGGAGCCATAGCAGTATCTTGACAAGCAGCTTTTCCTATACACGCTCCACCTGCTCTCTAAAGGTACTTGGCAAAGCCAGAATGACTCTGGGGCTGCAACTACTGGTGTGGTTGCATGGGAGCTGCTTGTAGGGCTTATAAGCCTTGACTACTCTCACCTACTTTGAGACAGCGTGGGCATGGAGCTGTGAATCCCATCACAGAACTACCAGTGCATGAAAGCTAGCTAGAAGACAACTCCATGAAACGAGCAGAAAATAGAGAAAATTAAGGAGGGGAGGGCAGGGAGGAATGACTGAAGAGGACCTCAATTCTACATTGTTGTCCAGATAGTAGCTAACTTTAAAAAAAAAAAAAAAAAAAAACCACCACAATCTGATTTGAAAACCCTGACTGAGGACAGCCTATCATTTCACGCTACTGAACTGAAACTGTTGTAAGGACAGCTATTTAAAAAAAAAAACCACACTTTTAAAAGAAAGTTTCAATGATACAGAGGTCCTTCACAAACAGCATCAAGCAGAAGCGTTCCATATACTTTTAGCTCTGTTACGATAGCTTTAAAACATTTCACGTTTTTATCAAGAACAAAAATGAAATGAGATTTAAAACCTGTTTCAGAGAATCACCATGCCTTTCCTGAATGTACTTCAGAAACGCAGTTGTCCACTGTAAAGTTGTCGCCTTATCAGTATCAACGGTACAGAATGGAACCAGAAGGTTCAGCTCATCACAACAGATCCGGATTCTGCGCCTACAGGCAAATACAAAAGGTTATCCACTGATGGGCAAGAGGAAGGAAAAAAATAAAAAAAGGAAGAGCACTCAGATGCGCTACAAGCCATGGGCTTTGGGGACTTGTTTTTGTTTGCTACAAGCTTTGTATTTGTGTACAAGTCATGTTATACACATTACCTTATCTTTATAGAATTGGTTGAATGTTTTGAAATCTCTTTTTGTTTGTTTACAGAGTTAAAAACCCAACAAAGACGAGCACAATGAAACATACTTATTTTTTTCCTCTAACAAACACCAAACCCTCACCACCTGCACTGCTTTTTCTTGTAGGTAAAACAAAATAGGTCAAATGTACATTTTACTCTGGATAATGACAGGAGTATTACAGTCTCAGTATTTTAGGCTTCAAAAACTTTGTCTTGCCACCCCTCAGAGAAATTACCTTCTGTCTCTCTCCATGCGGTTATGTCTTTCTCTTCGCTGAGTGATGCCGTCCTGCGTGCCACCCTGCACCTGCATACTGGAATTGGACTGTGCTGACTGCCATGCCCCCTGGGCAGATGCAGTACTGTGGCTACCATCACGCATATTTTGAATTTCACTGAGAGGTTTGCGATCCATGTTTGCATCCGATGGGCTTATTCGGCTGCAACTTCTTCTGTTTATCACTTGCTTGCATGAAGTGTCTTCTTGGAAAAACAAAGAGGAAAAGAAGAACCTATTTATAACCCTCCCACTAATCACTGAAAATTAAGACCGTGGAAAATTTTTTGTCACTTTATTTATGTGGAATAATCTTTGAAGCTTTATTGCCAACCTCGACTCACTCTTACAGCAACGCATGTCCTTCGGAAGCCCTAAGGCACTGCTTGCTGTTTCAAAATCCACCTAGCTTCTATTTTCTCAGAAAACCCACTGAGATCATGCCTGCCTTCGATTAGCATTTGAGGCAGCCCTTTAAATGTTCTTCAGTTCGATACTGACTGCAACTGCTGTATCAACTTTGGGGTCAAAAAGCGTAGAATCTCCAGGCCCAGATTTTCAAAGGTACTTTGCAACCTTGGGTTTTCTCACATCAAGCTAGAAGTGCTACACAATTTTGAAAGTACAGCTAAAATCATAGGTGTTGAATTTTCTTGGAGAAATCTAGTCCCATATTGCCTATAGCACAGCTCAGACATAGAAACCACACCTCACACGATTCACTAAAATCATATTCATTCTAAAAAGCACAAAAATTCAGAAAAAATTGTTGGTTTGAAGGCCAAGAGAAAGCTAAGTGAAAAGAAGATAAATGCTTTACCTCCAACTTTAATCCAGACTTCCTCAGGCAAAGCTTTACTCATAGCACCTACTGTCTGTTTTGTGGATTCAACTTCCTGATAGCAGAAAGAGAATGTCTTGGGTATCCCAAGGTCTTGTTTGGCAGCTTCCAAAATAGTGCAAGACGTTCCAGAGGTCTGTGAAAACCAAAAAGGAAATACTTAGAGGACTATATATGTAAAAAAAGAGCCTATCTTGATATCTTCATGTTAACGTCTTTTTTTTAGTTTTAGCCCTGTGATTCAATGTGTCCTATCTGAATAAATCCCAATTACTTCTGCACACCCACAACCATAGGATTTTAACAGACTGCTGAATTTTTTGGGGATACCTCTGACATTTCCAAGTGCCATGCTATCACTCTTGCTTCAGAGGTTACTGCGAGTTGGGGGGAGGGGGGAAATCTTTTTAATCAAAATTAATTAGGAAAAAAGGAACCATAGAAAATGGTACTAAGTGTCTCCTTCTTGTCCTGCGTAGATGAAGCAGATACACTGATAAACTCAAGAAAAAAGTCCTTCCAGTAAGAAATCTAATGGCCTATTGATCATTACCTGGATGCACGCGATCACAAATGACGTAACTTCCGCACAATTGGGTTTTGTGTCAAATTACTTTTGACGGTCTTAAAAGATTAACATAAGAATAAATAAGTTGCATTACAGATCACTCTGATCATCCCTGTTCAAACCAAGTCACACTTGAACACAAACCTTTACAATTACATTACACCTAAGAGGTTAACATGATTAGCATTTGAAATTAGCAGAGTACGAGCGGTGAATACGTCATCTACCTGTGCTTGTGAAGGATTAGTACTTGCAGCAGTAGAACATGCGTTCATAGTAAATAACGGGTACGTGAACTGTAAAGAAGACGTGGCAGGTGCAGTCTTGTTTTTCCCTAATGCAGCACACTTGTTTTCTTGCTGATGAAGAGGAACACCTATCAGTTCTGATGGCTGTCGAATCAATGTTACTAAACTTAAAAAAAAAACCAAAAAAACAACACAGAAAACATACCAGACTGACTACCTGAAAATGAGTGCAGAAAAATTTACAGCTACCCATACTGCTAGTAACTATCACCGAGAAACCACTTTCATTTACTGTAAACAGCAATCGTTGTTATTGCCATTTTGCCTACTTCAGGGACAAAAAAAAAAAACCAAACCCCAAACCAATCAGCTGAGAAGGTATTTTATTCTGTGCA